TGCCTGCTACATGTGCATTAAACATGGCTATACAGGCTATTTAGAGTCTTCCAAATTTTATGCTTTTAATAAGTATCCAGTGTAAGGTAGTATAACCTGCAGATAATCTCTCAATAATCGCTAGTTAACTAGGTTTCAATACTTTATGCTCCTGAGAAAACCACACACAGTATCTTTCTTTTTATTTATTTATTTATTTTATTGATGTTTTGCTTGCACGTATGTCTGTGTGAGAGTGTCGAGTACCCTGGAACTGGAGTTACAGACAGTTGTGAGCTGCCATATGGGTGCTGGGATTTAAACGCAAGTCCTCCGGAAGAGCAGCCAGCACTCTTAATCACTAAGCCATCTCTCCAGCCCCCACAATTTCTTTCTTTCAGGTAGAATAATTACAATTATCAATAGCCCGGACATCTACAAATAGGTAGACTTCTTCACGACACACTGTGCTGGGCTGATTGCACTTAAGAGTGATCTTTACGGGGTGACAGTGGTGCACGCCTTTAATCCCAGCACTCAAAGGACAGAGGCAGGAGGATCTCTGTGAGTCTGAGGTCAGCCTGGTCTACAGGGTGAGCTCCAGGACAGTCAGGAGAAAACCTGTCCTGAAAAAAAATCCAAAAACAAAAAATATTCTTTATAGCCCTGAATTCATTTGGTGGTTCCTATTCTTCACTTCATAACCCAGGAACTCAGTTCTTTTCTTCAGGATTATAAAATCCCACCCAAGTTTTAATAAGTTGGTAAAGAATGCAGAAATAGTGTATGTACGTGCAAAGTAAACAAAGACTCATGAGTTAGCAATGGAAATTATAATTTAAAGTAAATTCATCTTAATATTCTTTTCTGAACATTTTCCTCCACACGAGCACACACACCTGGGCATGTGCAACCCATGAACATGTGTGCACACATAGGACTCATTTCTACTGGAAATGAAGGACACTAGATTCTATTCATGCTACCGTGATTGACTTCGAGAAAGCATCAGACCTGCAGGGATTCATTCATCTTCATTTGTTACCTTCTTTGTTAAAGTCTGGCTCTCTTTTCTTCCCTAAAGGCTGTGGAGAACAGGGCCAGAAAAGTGGCACAGAGAGAGACCCATGACCACCGATGTTTGAGGACACCCAAACATGAATCTCCCTACTTTCATCATCTTCAAAAATATTTTCAAAGCGACTATGCACCAAGTGAACAACAAGTAAATAATCTGGGAGATGAAGGGTGATTGGGCTTCTCTTAAAATGTCAACTTACTATAAAGTGAAACAGTCGTCAGCACCCTGGTGTTGACTCATGGGATTTGCTCAAGAGCATCCCAGGAAAGAAGGGAGAGTCAGAGAAGGGAAACCAAATGCAAACGCTCTGCCCCAAGTCAGCTCTTCTGATCGTCTACAAAATTAAACAAATGTCTTTTTCAGTGATGGCCTGAGTACAACATATCTCCCTCCCTGTTATGAGTAGCTCTTCTCAAGTCAGTAATAGGTGTTCCTAGAACATCTGGGACAGTCTTCCTCCACATAGCCCTCGGCCGGCAAGAGAGATCATTTCTTTAAACAGCTGCCCTTCCCGAGTCTCAGTCTTGCTGGTGTTTGAGAGGGAACTTAGCACTGACTCCATATTCTCTAGTCTTCAGATTCTCATCCTGACAGTGCCCAAGAGCTCCTCTGGGTCTGCAGTTTATCCTGCTTATCCCAGGATCTGTTAGCCTCCAAGGAGTTGTGAAAAATCCATGGTAATGAATAGATAATGAATAGATTCTCTCTCTCTCTCTCTCTCTCTCTCTCTCTCTCTCTCTCTCTCTCTGTGTGTGTGTGTGTGTGTGTCTGTCTGTCTGTCTGTCTGTCTCCCCCCACCTTCCTCCTTGCCCTCCTACACACACACACACACACACACACACACACACACACACACACACATCCAATTCTGTCCCTATGAAGAACTCTATCTAACACACTCCACACTCTGAAATAGTTTCCAAGGACCAGACAACTTGGAGCCCCTGAGCCACATGGCTCTGCATGGAGGCCATTCATGGGGATCACAGTGGCTCTGGAGATGTGCCAGCACTAGCTATAGGCAGGCAGTTTCCATTCCACTCTGTGGGTCCCCACACAGCTGTACCCAACACTGTTTGGTCTAGGGGGATGACCAACATGATTTTCCTGGAAAACAGGAGCTCTGAGCTCTAAAAGAACAAAGTCACGACATTTATCAAACCTTTAAAATGTTGTGACAGTATTCATGATTGGTGTATAAAGACACAAAATGGTACACACGGTGGGATAGTGATGTTTTGACATGTGCGTTCACGTGCAATGTTGAAATTAGTTAAATAGATCCATCTCTGCAAACACAGACCACTTCTTTTTTGTAGACGTGTGTCCCTGTGTGGGTATGTATGTGTGGGGGTGCATGCATAGGTGTCCTCATACACATAAAGGCAAGAGACTGACTTTGAATATCTTTCTTCAGTTGTCCTTAACCTTATGGTTTGAGACAAGCTTTCTCTGAACCTGCTATAGCTCTCTGATTGGCTACATAAGCTGTCCAGCAAGCCCTGGGGATCCTCCCCTCTCCATCCCTCCAGAGGTGGGGTTACAGGCCAGCACCACCATACTCTGACTTTTATATAGGTGTTGGGAATCCAAACTCAGGTCCTTCTGCTTTACTAGTTAAGTGGTTTCCAATAACATCATTTATCATTATGGTGAAAACATTTTAAATCCTTTCTCTGGGCTTTTGAAATGTATAATCTACTGCTATTACCTATAGTCACCCTACTGTTCAACAGCAGACCAAAACTTCTGTTTGTGGGAATAGTTTATTTCGTCGCTCGCTTGCTTGCTTGGGCTTCCTGTTGTGGATTTTGTTGGTGTAGTTAGTTTTCTTTTACACCAGAACTCTTTTGTACCTTTTAACTAATTGCATGCCCACTGATCACCTCTCCCCATCCCGCCTGTCTCTTAATCTCCCCAGCTTCTGGCAACCACCATTTCACTCTCAGACCCAATGAGATCGGCTCTCACTATTCCCCAGATAATTGAGGTCATGCAGTATTTGTCCTGCTGGGTCTTTCTCATTTCACAAAACACAACCTGTGAGAGGAGTGCATTCTTTGTGTCTGGACAGCACTGCTCTTTGTGTATGACCCGTCCCTTCTGCGCATTTATCGCTTGATGGACATAGGTTGTTTCCACCTCTTGGCTACTGTGAATAGTGATACAATGAACATGGGAGTTCAGACAGCTCTTTTAATGGGCCAGTGTTATTTCTTTGGTTATCAACCCTCTCGTGAGTTTGGTGAATGAAACAGTAATTCAACTTTCATGCCCCCATCCTGTTTCTCATGATTGGTATATGAATTTACCTTTCTATCAACCACGTGCAAGTTCTCCTTTGCCCCACACCCTCAACCAGCACTTCCTATCCGTATTATTCTTAACAATGGCTGCCCTGGGGTGAAGTGGGTATCACATTGTGTTCTCAATGTGTATTTGCTGGGGTCGGGCATCCTTTCATAAACCAGTAGGCCATTGTTCAGTCTCCCTTGGCAATAGCCACATCTCCATGGATCTAATTTGTGGGAGCTGTTTCATGAAAAGACTCCCCTTCCTCTAGTGTATGCCTCTCGCTTCATGCATTTATAAAGCGTGTCTGTGGTGAGAGAACTAAGACCATCTTAGTAACTTCCTCATTTTCATGGAAAGTCAGTTGCAAATACCTTCTCCAAACCTCACTGCTTTTGTTTCATCATCTCTGTTGCAATAAAACACCCTGATCAAAAGCATCTTGGGGGGGAGGGCTTATTCGATTTGTAAACCCACTTTACAGTCAATCATTTCTTGTAAGTTAAGTCAGGAACACAAGCAACTGTGTTGTATTCATATCCACAAGTCAAAAGCAAAGCAAGAATAAACTCGTGCTTGGGTGCTTGCTGACTAGCTTGCTTAGAAACCAGCTTGCCCCCCTTCCTCTTACCCAGTCCAGGGTAGTCCGTGAAATGGTGCAACCCACAATTGGGAGGATCATCCCATCTCAATAACAGTCAATTTGACCACTGCTGACATGTCCACAGGCTAACATGATCTAAATGACTCTCTCTCTCTCTCTCTCTCTCTCTCTCTCTCTCTCTCTCTCTCTCTCTCTCTCTCTCTCTCTCTCTCTCTCTCTCCCTCTCTCTCTCTAGGTCGTGTCAAGTTGAGAGTTAAAACTAACCACCACAAAAAAAACTCTAATTTCTTTATCACTCAGAGTTTTGGCTTTCTCCTATTCAATGTGAGAGCCCAACATGGTGGCACTCATTTTTAACTCCAGGACTGAGAAAGCTAAGACAGAGAGACTGTGAGTTTGAGGATAGTCTAGGTTATAAAGCAAGACCCTATCTCAAAAATCAACAAAAAATATTGATAGTAATAATGGTGACAACACTCACAGAGTTTCTTTAGTGTATGCAAATACGTTGAGCAAATATGGATATTCGAGCTAGAAAACAATAGAATTTCAAAATGAAAGAATTTTTCCTTAATGATTCTTATTCTAATTAAAGTTTAACTACAGCTTTCCCCTTTTCCTTTTGTCCCTCCTGCCCCACCTGTTTTTAATCTGCTGTGAAAGCTGAAAGTGGAGAGACGACTTCTAGGTAACGGCACTTGCTGCTGCGCCTGACAACTTGAGTTTGATATCAGGTACCCACATGGTGGAGGGAAGGAAAGAATCAGCTCCCAAAAGTTGTTCTCTAACCTCCACACAAGACCATGGGTCTGTATGTGCCCACACACATACACACACAGACACATGCACACAAACAAAAGCAATGTGAAAGACAGATGCCTATTTATTTTCAATGCACTAAGCTCATTCAAAACACCAGTTACATAGACTATCCAACAGTAAGCTGTAAAATCATAGAGTATATGATCTACACAATGATGCCAAAATACACCCACTGCTCACAGCCACCCAAATACTTATTTCTTTTTGAAAATAAGGACCTACCTTTCCCCTGGAAGTTGTCTATGGAGTCCATCTATATTACACAAATCCCACCTGAGATGATTCCTTGGTATACACAGCCATTGGTGCAAAAATTGAACCTCTATCTGGGCTTCCTCAATCTGGACCATGGTTTGGAATGCCAGTTCAGGCTTACAAACAATATCTAAACATGACTGGGTCCTCAACATGAGTTCCTGTTCTCCATAGCAAACAAGTAGGACTGACTATGACCACACCTCTTTTTCTTTGAATCTTCATTAACTACTTAGGATAACCAGAATAACTACTCTTCCCTCATTGTCCCCTAATAGGCTGCTTTCTCTTGCACATTTTATTTATGTATGTGGAGGCATTAGGATGAAAACCAAGAATGTGCTTGGCACAGTGCTGTGATTTTCACAGCCTTTGAGAAGTGACCAAGAAGGGGGGTGTGAATGTTACAGTCCCTGGTCTTCTGCAGCTTCAGGATGCCTAGCCCAGAGGTTTCAAATGTTACAGCCCTGTCTTCTCAGAAGGTGTCAGGGTGACAGCAACGTGATTATTGAAAATTATTATAGCTTGAAAGCTCTCAGAAGTCTTCAGGATGCCATCTAAGAACAGTTCTTGTCAGAGAAATTCTGAGAAAAAAAGTATTGCCAATGATGGTAGCAAGAATGTGAGTCTCCCATCTCTGAAATGTCTTGGAGGTTGGAGTTGTAGGGCTCTGGAGAAACGTGTATCAAGGTCTGGAGCTACATATTTCTAAAGTGGTGAGTCTTAGAAGCTGGAAGCAGCACTGGGGATGTACTCTCCCCTCGGGTTTACTCCTGAGGGCTGGTTGAGCAAGTTCTCTGCCTGAGGCAGAAACTTATTAACAATGAGTCTTGAAGGCAGCCTTCCTTCTCCAAAGACCATCTGAGAGACAAGCCCTTGGCAAGGAGCTAGTTATGATGCAGACTCCATCCTCAGACTTCTTCACTCAAGGAATGATCTGGAAGGGTGATTCTCCCCCCTCCTCTCTCCACTGTGTAGACCCTAAGTGGAACTGATCAGGAAAAACCTGTCAAACCCGGGAATGGGAGGAAGAGGCCTGAGTCCACCAAGATACTGCTTTCTGGGAAGGCAATGGGTACTCAGCTGCCCAAAGGACTTTCTGTAGCTTCTGGTGCTACAGAGACTCCCCCATCACATCTGCACCCAGATTGTTCCTAGGATCTCTATAGAAGTCACCCCGTGCTTCAGTCCTTTGTGCATTGTAGTCTATTTCCCTGACGTCAGTGTGCTTGGGCAATCGCTGTCCGTTCATGACCAGTGGGAATTTCTGGTTCCCAGAAGCCACTTCACTGACAGCTAGGACAACAAGGTATCCTGGCAAATGATAGTCTACTGCCAATATCAGCTTGTCCTCAGGGTTCCGGGACCCTTTAAACCCCTCCAATTCCCTTCTACAGAAGTTATCTTAGCCGGGCGTTGGTGGCGCATGCCTTTAATACCAGCACTTGGGAGGCAGAGGCAGGCGGATCTCTGTGAGTTTGAGGCCAGCCTGGTCTACAAGAGCTGGTTCCAGGACAGCCTCCAAAGCCACAGAGAAACCCTGTCTCGAAAAACCAAAAAAAAAAAAAAAAAAAAAAAAAAAGAAGTTATCCTATCTGCTGTTAGGACAAGAATGATGATGGCTCTGGCTACTTCTGCTAAAAAGAGGCAGGGGCAAGGGGCATGAGTCAGGGCTCTTCCAAACATTCCCCGGTACCGCTTCAATCTTGGGCTATCTAGGCAATAAGAGATGAATTTTTAAGAAGCTCAGTAAACAGAGTTCAAATAATAGGGTCAAGAAGATTATTACTAAGGACTATTTACAAGAGGCCTGTGGGGGAAGGAACACAGAATGTGCGTTGCCATATCTTGAACCATGAACCCTATGGTTCTTCTAGTTGTTGGTAGATCTAGGAAGCATGCTCTGTCAATCTTCATACTACATCCTTAACTATTCTTGATTGATTTACACAGACAGTTCTGGGGGAAGGGTTTTCCTGAGAAATCCTACGTGAAGCTTGCCTTTACAAATCAAACACTCACCCAACCTGTAGTCAAGCAAGTGTGCCTTGAAATTATGTACTCATCCTTCTTATGTACCATAAATTCTGCCCATTCAGAATTAACTAACCTATAAGACAGTCTGACTATACTTTCTATTTCCAGTGTAAGTAATTCCTTCATGCTCAGCTGAATGTTCACCTTCTATTGCGCCTGTCCCCCCTTTCTCCTTTGTGAGTCATTCATGCCTCTGATTCAGAACAATGTATGTATGTGAGAGGTATGGTGACCACATCTAAGACCATTTGTTGAAAGCAACAAAGCTCTGAAGCTGCGCCCCCCACCCCGCCCTGCCACACACAGAATATGATGGAAGCAACATACAGAATGGTACCTGATTGGGGCTCTGTGTGCTTTGCTCAGTCAACAGGGCCAGAGAAACAATTCCTGTAAAAGATTAGTTAAGACAAAAGTTCCTCATTCCTTTATGTTACCATATTTGCTATGCAGTTCAATAAAGAGGAAGGACTTCGTTCAGGATAATGCAAGCTATTTCAGATTACAACTAGATTAGAACACCAGAGACCAAAACTCCTCAGTAATCAGGCCCACTGTTGGGTAAATGACACCAATCATTAATCTTCCTTTATGTATCTCACCACACTCTTCTAGAAGGAAGCATAGTCCCCTTCTCAGCTGCGAGAGGGTCTAGTTTCCTTCCTTTCCTTCCATTTCAAAGGGCTACCACTGACAAAGAATCTATCTGGCCTTGTGGTTCAACCATATTTTTACAATCTGGTCCAGGCTGCCAGGGAAACTCCTAGACAAGTTCTGATATTGGGAAGTGGGTGACGAGTTCTCCCACATCAAGCTCAATCCCAGTGCCACAAGAAGAGTGATATCCAGCTTGGCCCTGATGTCTGCTCTAAAGGAGTAGTCAAGCTGGGTGGTGGTGGTACATGCCTTCAATCCCAGCAGAGGCAGGTAGACTTCTGTGAGTTCCAGACCAACTTGGTCTACAGAGCAAGTTCCAGGATGGGATCCAAAGTCATAAAGAAACCCTGTTTCGAAAAACCAAAAAAAAAAAAGTAGTCAAATGTGTGTTGATGACTTCTGAGAAAGGAAGAATTAGTCTTCCCCAGACATGATCCTTCTAGATGTTTATCCAAGAAGAACTACCAAGTGGTTGATCCTAAAAACATACTTACAAGCAACCATAAACACACTCAGCAGGTTGTATTGATGCATTTATTCTTCTGTGTGTATGTGTAACAATAATAATTGAAGAAAGAGGCCATAAATCTGAGAGGGAGTGGAGAATGCATGGGAGGGGCTAAAGGAAAAAGATGCAATTAAATTTTTAATTTAAGACTCGTTAATAAAAGTGGGTTATTAAGAACTATGTCAATTTTAGGGAAGAGATGAAAAGATCACACCCAACATCCCCAAATGGGAGTCTTTCTGAAGTGAATAAAGTCATCACTCTCCTTGTCACATAAGTCAATTTTCTGATTTCTAGGGTCAAAATAACAGTGACTGAAGCTATCTATCATAGGCAATCTGTTGATCTTTTGTTCACCAAGTTCTTGCTTTACCCTGTTGGCAGCTAGACAAGCGCTCCTGGCCCAAGTTAGACACCTAAAGCACCAGTGAACACATGGACAGCCCTAGAAAAGTCAGAGACCCAGGTTGGGGCTGCAGCCTGTTCCTTACATTCATTTAACATCTTTAAGACCAGTTGTCCCTCCTCTACATCAAGAGAAAAGGAAACTTTTTTAAGTTAGAGCCCCCTTCAGTCATCTGATAAAGTCAAAGAACTTCTCCTCAAGGCTCTGTTCTATCTTGTGTTGTCTGTAAGAAACCACCCAGTTAAGATTTCCATACATTAGTACACAGTTTGTGGTTTCAGAGTTAGAAGAATCCTCCTTGGTAAACATGCTCATACAAACCAGAGGCTCAAATTCCTTTCCAATCATTTTGTTATTTACCTATACTTTCATGGTGGGTGTTTAAGACAATAGAGATGGTCAAGAATTAATATGTTTGATACTAAAACAAATAAAAAATCAAATAAGAGTGCCTTACCCAAGTACACCATCTGCTGGGATGGGTCAGGGTCTTCTATGTGACTTCCTTTAGAAGCACGGGGAACATTCTTTTCCCTTGACTTTCCTCTCTGCAGGATGCACACTGGTTAGAGTCTAGTCTTGGGTTTCTTCATGACCTCTCTGATCAAAAGGACAGTTGGTTTATCAGAATAGGGGTCTTTCAAAAGGTTCCCATCAGTCCCTGACTCCCAGTCTTGAAGGGCGAGGACCAAGTAACGGCTGTCATTTTAGCCCCTCTGTCCCTTCAGTCTTCCAAACTTTGGTAGTTAAATACCCAAAAAGACAGTTTCACCAGTCTTTTAGTCTTAACTTTTGCGCAACATTTAAAGAAAGCCTGGATAAAAACAAATTCTGGTTTACTTAAGGTTCAGTTTCACAAGTAGTTAAGAGACTGGGTTTTGTTGTGGAACAGCTTATTGTGTGTGAGGGGACCATATCTCTTAGTTAGAAGGGAAGGTTGAGAGGAACATATTAATCTCCTGGAGGAGTTGACAGTGAAGACACCAGAGGGATGTGTTGCTCACTGTTCTACCAGGAGAAAATGCCTTCCTGTAGAATCCCTCCTAGGATCACTGGAAACGTCATTGACCAGTTGATGACACCCTGAGGAAACACCACTAAGACCCGACTCCAATGCGCACGTAGGCTCGACCATTTGTTCACCGCTGTACAACAATCCCCCAGGAGAACCTACAACACTCACCTGAAGCACATTTTCAGAGAAAATATCACAAAGAATCCTGAGAGTCACCAAATTCAAGTCACCAAATTCCACCCAAGTTAATTATGAAAAACAATCAACAAACACTTTAGATATTTGAGAAATGAAACCAAAGAAGAGCAATGAAAAAATGTTACAGTCCCTTGGGAGTTTGAAGTTTGTCAATTCTTGTTAGGGCTCCCGACCAACCCATCCCCACAATGGGACAATCAATGATTCTGGTCCCTAAAGAAGGCACTTAAGACCATGTACCCACCCAACTCCTTTCCTTCATTGTCTTCATGGTCTCAAATTGCATAGAACAACACTGTGAATCCAGCCCTGATACCCCTGAAGGGAATGCCTCCTACCTCTCTCAAGAAAACAGGATGGTTTTACACCACCACTCTGTCCCACAGCAATCCTGCTGTGAAATCCTGTCCCAAACTTACAACGGGCTTCTGTCTTCCAGCAGACCCTCCAGCTTGCAAAAGGAAGCCCCTTCCAGGTGTGCAGCTTATAACTTCCCCATTCCCTAGTGCCTTCTGCATCGAAGTGACCACGGCACACCTGTTGGGTATTGATCACAACTTAGCAACTTATAGGGCTCTTGGCATGATGACTGCTTATCGTGAGACATCCAGCAATCAAGAGGCCCACATGACAAAGTCTTTGGTCAAGTGCCATCTGAAGAAAGATGGAAGAAAACAAAGTGTACATCTCTACCCTGAGCACCTTGGCGGGTCAGGCCGGGTTTGGTCAGGGTACCTTCTAATAACGTCCTGGTGTCACTCCTGCCAGAAACCTGCAATTTCTTCAGAACCTCACCTCAGCCCTTCATGATGGGCAGCAGATTTCCATGAAAAGAAACTAAAGGGAAACAAGACCAACACTCCTAGCAGGTGAATGATTGAGTTCACTTCAGCAAGCCTGACCTCTGACACTGAAGACGGACGGCTATGCTAGTCACTTTGAAGTGGTTCTCAGCATTCTGGGTTTTTGCTCTAAAGAACTACCCTGACGTATAGATGCGCCAAACAACAGAGGCGTGGTAAAGCCCACCTCTCTCAGCTGTCCAGAAATGATCTGTTGATTGCACCGATTCCTGTTGACTTCCCACAGGTTCCCACATTGGGTTTTTGTTGAATTCCCAGACCAGCTGAGAGGTGAATTCTCCAGCCACGGGTTTTTGACTTGTGCGTCCTCCAAGAATGCAATAGATAGATTGCAAAGAGGACAGTAGGAGACTTTATTTGCCATGTTGGAACAACTCAAAGAGGAAAATAAAAACTCAAGTAGAAAAGAAGAAGCTCTAAGATTCTTGGTAGCAGCGGAATGCCAAACAAGATTCGATGTGATCACTACAGCTCTATGCTCTTGGCGAGCTTCAGGAGCCTAGCCCAGAAGTTACAAATATTACAGCCTTTGGCTCCCAACGTTCCTCAGAGCGACAGCCAAGACTGTTGGGGAGTATTACAGTTCGAAAGCTCTTGGAGGGCTTCTGGCTGGTAGCCAACATCAATCCCTGGCAGAACAACTCTGCACGGTGGTCATTTGCAGGGGTAACAGAAGTAGCACATCTTCTGTCCCTGGCGGGTCTTGAAGGCTGGAGTCGCACATTTCCACAGGTCTGAAGCTGCGTGTCTTAGAGGTTGGAAATAGCTGCAGGGATGGATTCCCTTCTGTGGCCAAAACATGGAGCCTTGGAGGCTGAGGGAGGAATGAGTCCCCCAACCCAACCTGCAGCTGGTTTTTGCAAGCAAGCTTCCTGCCTGGGGCAGAAGCCTCCAGTTTGGCCAGTCTGGCTCCTCTCCAGCAGTCCTTAAAGGCAGTCTGGGAGCCAAGCTTCTGGCCAGCTGGGGAGCCAGCTGGGAGCAGGATTCCATCTTCAGGGTTCTTTTTCTCCTACAAAGAGGAGGAACATCTGAGGGCCAGGCCACAGGTCAGATCAAGGAGACTGCAGAGAGCCCAGAATCCAGCCTGGCTGAGAACCTGGTGCCAAAGTCTTCCTCCTCCTCCTCCTCCTCCCCCTCCTCCGAGGAACATCTGTGGAGACTGGGTTTCCAGAGTTCTCCTCCACTACGGTGACCAGGTGGCCCCTGAGTGACCAAATGTGTATGCAAAATAAATAAATAAATAAATAAATAAATAAATAAATAAATAAATAAATAAGACACAAAACGGGGTCAGTCTGGAAAGAGCTGTCAAACCTAGGAGTTAGGAGAAGGCTGAGCCCACAGAAAGTTCCTGGTCAGGACTCTCGCTCCATTTCCTGCTGTTGCTCTTCCTGTAAGACTTTGCACCATTGGGATTGGTTGGTTTGCTTATTTGGTGTATGTTGGAGAGGGGTAGTTTTGTGTTTTGAGAATTTCTGTATTTACATCGTTTCCACCCCTTCTCTCTCCCTTTCCTACTCTGGCCACAATTCCTCACTGATGGGGGAAGTCCTATGTACATGTCAATAAAGCACTGTTGGGCCAATAGGGAACCAAGATAGGTGGGACTAGGAGTCCAGGAGAACTCTGGGTAGGAGAACCACAGAGAGTCAAGATGTAACGCCATGGGGGTAGGAAGCCCGGAAACCTCTCCGGTAAGAGAAATACTTAGATTAGCAATTATGGGATAAATACTTATGTAAGAGCTAGCCAGTAAGAAACAAGCAAGGCTAACAGCTTCATAATTAATATAGCCTCCTGTGTGTTTATTTGGGACTGATACGGCTCTAGAACCAGGCTGGCGGGAAGGCTTCTCTCAAGGAAAAGGTTTCTCTTTACACCTCACAAATTCCTCACCTCTTCTTTAGTTATTATTGATACACATGGTGGTGGTTTAGGAGAAAATGGCCCCCATAGACACTATTAAGAGATGTGGTATTCCGAGGTCTCAGAAGCTCAAGCCTGGCTAGTCTGTAGCAGTCACTTGATTCTGCCTGCATATGTAGATCTAGAACTCTCAGCTACCTTTCCAGTACCAGATCTGCCTACATGCCACCATGCTTCCAGCCATGATGATAATGGACTGAACTGCTGCCATCCCCAAATAAATGTTTTCTTTTATAAGAGTTGCTGTGGTCATGGTGTCTCTACACAGCAATAAAACACTAAGTCTCTCTCTCTCTCTCTCTCTCTCTCTCACACACACACACACACACACACATACACACAGTATATATATTTATATATCACATATATTTACATAAATCCTAACAAATCCATTTAGTGTTGCTTATACGTTCGTGTCTTCAGGGTTGGCTGCTTCTGGTTGGGTAACATCAGGAAGCTCATTCCTGGAGAAAACCAATACTCCTTCTCTCAGAAGCCGTTGATTGCCTATAACTCTTCATTTGGGGAGAATCTTGGGAAACTTCCCCATCTGTGACAGCATGTCAACTGGTGTTATTAGTATGCAGGTCTTGTTTGGGCAAACACACAGTTGATATCTCATGGATGCAGCTGCATCCCATCCCGGTCCTCTGACTTTTATATTATTTCCACCTCCTTTTTCACAATTGTCCCTGAGCCTCAGGGGTTCTGTCGTACGAACACCAATTAAGGCTGGGCATCCCACGTTCATTTATCCTTTGCATCTTGACTGACTGTGAATCTCTTCAATAGTTTCCATGTGCTGCAAAAAGAGGCGTCTCTGATGTGGGCTGAGAGCTACACTGATCTGTGGGCATAAGGACAAGTATTTAGAATGTTGCTAGAAGTTACGTCAGTTTAGAAAAATGGCAGTAGTGGGTTCTCTTCTGGGTTTATGACCTCACCAGCCACTGGTTAGTGACTACATTTACAGTACCAGGCAAAAGTTCCTTTCTGTCAATCAGGTTCTAAGTCCAATAAGACAAAGCCAGGATTCTTTTTTTTGCATTGTTCCCAGAAGCTGGCTCACTGACTGCTGGATGGTAACAGTGGGCTGTCAATGAGCAGGACATTGTAAGGGACTCCTTGCCCTTGGGGTATTGGAGCCATTTCTACCTTTGTCATATTTGTGCTTATTTCCTTATGATACACTTCAGGAGTGGGGTACCTAGTAAAGAGAGTGTGTGCTCTTCTGATATGATATATGACCTCTAGTATATGCGGAGAGTCCATCCCTTTGCAGCCACAAATATATACGCACCTATATTTATATCTGTGGGGAAATCATAAGATCCTGACTGCTATGCAGCTACAGCATCGTTACAAAAGAACTTTAAGTGAAGTCATTTGGGAAGTGTTGAAATGATGGAAATTCCAAGGTTGAAACAAAAGTGAAAGGGAAGAACGTGGAGGGAAGGGCTGGGTATAAAGGCACACAGTGAGTACAGGCGCACAGCCAGCTGTGCTTGCCCAGCTCACTCCTGAGCCAGACTTCCCCTCCAGAGCAGCGCGATGCTCAAGGTATTGTCACTTTTGCTCCGGCTTGCCTAGATTGCTTGCCTTGCTTGACTCTTCCTTTCTCCATCGGTTGGCCTTTTCAAAGCTACCTGCTCTGCTGCAGAAGTGATGGCATTTTAACTTTCCTCAGCCTCTGGGCTGCCTAATGAGCTGGCTGCATGTCAGCTCTCCTCGGCGTCTGACAAATGAGAGATGATCCCATTGCTTACTCCTAGCTAGAAAGTGTGTCGTTGTAAGTTCGCTGAATCTCGACCTCTTGGTGTTACATGTGCCCTCTGTGTGATGCATACAGGTTGACTCTCTAATTATCTGTTTGCTGTCATGCTCCCTGTCATCATCTCCTGGTAGACTTGTTGAGTCAAAAAGCCTCACTTGCTGGTTTGGCAGTTTAGAGAGTTGTGCATCATGAGTGCACAAGGGTTCCTGACATTTGCTGCTAAATGACTCCATGCTCTGCTTAAATCTATACGTTAGTCACGGTGTTCACCAGAAAGATAGGCAAATGCCGCTAGAAAGCCAAGGGCACCAGAAAGGCATTTGACACACAGGTGAAGTGTGACTCAGAGATCAGAGCAGTAGTGATAATTCTCCTTCCGGTCTCTCCCCTCAAGGTCGGGGAGTGTGGTTTGATCTTTGGCTCACTACATATTCAGCACCACTGGGGAAGCCCACTGGTCTCAGCAACGTAAGTTACATGAGCATGGCCTTCTAACGCTATCCCACATCTTGGGTCCTGTGCTGGTGCCCCTCACCTGCTATTCAGCCATCCAGTGTTCAACTGGTACTTGGGAATTACGTCAGCAGATTATTAAGTCCATTCTCTCCCCCTCCTTCCCTCTCTCTTCTGCATGTGAAATGTTTATCGAAATATTGGCCAGGATGAAAGGCAGTGTTGTGGTTTTCCTCTAACCAGAAACATCCACTGCAGGATCGTTTGCTCTCCCGCTGTCTCCTGGCTTTCTCCTACCCCAGGCTCCCTTCACTTCCTATCAAAGCTTTAAAGATGCAACAAATGCTCTATTCTTTTGAAAATGACAGTTTTCATCTGAACAATAAATCTGAAGACTCTAAGAATGGGGTTAGGGTTGAAGCAGGAGGATTGTCACAAGTTCAAGGCCAACCTGAGCTAGACAGTGAGTGCAGACTGGCCAGGGCCACCTTGAAAGACCTTGCATCAGAAGAAAAGAAAAAAGAAAGGAAAAAACTCGTGGGTAGCAAAGGTAAAATATCTCCATGTAGGCACTGGCTCTATTTCTGTGACTCTACTGTGACAGTGGGCCCCGTGTGAGGGACCTTAGGCACTAGGATTTCTTAACCTGCTGAGTCCTCCATCTACCATTTGTAAACAAAGAATTTCACAGTCAGGGATGGGAAGGAAGTTAGGCAATAAGGTGATCATCAGACAAGGAAAGGAAAACTGCTGAGTAGTTTATTACAAGAACTCAGTGCTGAGATACCCTCCTAGTGGATGTGGTGAGATACCCTCCTAGTGGATGTTTTTAAGTTATAGTCTCCTGTGAAGGCATATAGAAGCAAAAGTGTTCCTTGGGCATTGAAGGGCTTGACAGTTAAAGGAATTGCAAAGTCCTCTACTACCACTTCAGAGACACAGAGCATCCTGCTCCAGGGCCTCGAGTGGGGTCTATGAGCAGAGGCAGAGCTCCTTCCACATAGAATGATCACAGGGCACAATGTCCTTCATCCTCCCCTGTCTGGGCTTCCCTTCACTGTCCTCCATCATGCTCTGTTGTCATCATCTGCTAAGCAGCCTGCATTATCAGCATGACTGGTCAACGAACTTAATTATTGCATATTTCCACATCCTCGCTCCCGTTGTAGTAGGTGCCTAGCGCACATCACATTTTGGAAAGCAAACTCAATCACATTAACCAGGCTTCTTCTCATGGGGCAAAACTCTTCACCTCGTGGTCTCTTGGTGAAAGAAGCACTTGGATTCAGGGCGGCGCTGTTCTGACCTTCTTGCCTTTGAAGTCTGTCACAGAAAGCTTCTCCAGCTTGATTCACGGCCTGAGAGTGGACCACCTGACAGATGGCGTCATTCAAAGGAGCAAGAGGATGATCCTGGATTCCCTGGGCGTTGGTTTCCTGGGAACAGGCACAGAAGTGTTTCACAAAGTCACCCAGTATAGTAAAGTAAGAACCCCAAAGTTCACTTTCAAGCTCAAAAGCCAGCATGTGCACAAGCGTACCCCACAAGTCTGTGCCTGGGCTCTGCTTACTCCGGCTTGGTTGCATTTGATGCGTGTCGCGTTGTTCCGTACCTTTTTATGAGTCCCTCTGGTTCATATGATTTTTTAAAGTTCATGCCTATTCATTACTAAGTCAGGCCTTATTTCCATTCATTGGTAGTATCTCAAGGCTTCTTACTTGTATAACTAAAAGTACATTTCAACCCAAAAATCTTAGAAGTTAAAACCCTTTACCCCAAGATCAAATATGAGTGGATTCAGTCTCCTTGAATGGAGCTTCTAGATGATGACTTGGGGTAAGCAGTTCTGTCTTCTCTCCCTCACAATGTGAATGTGTCTTCCTCGGCAAGGTGGAGAGACTGCCCACCAGCTAGGCTGCCCTCTCGGGTTTGGTGAGGTCTGATGTGAAGACGCCTAGAGGATGGCGGATAACTCTTGAGATGTCAACTCAGTGTATCCTTGCATTCACTGGTTCTCTTCTGTTCCAGATCTACAGTTCCAATACCTCCAGCACTGTTTGGGGTCGACCAGACTTCAGGCTCCCACCCACATATGCTGCTTTTGTTAACGGCGTCGCTGTAAGGAAGTTTACCAGCTTTTTCTATAACTCAGTCATTATAACTTCAGAGGCAGGAAATTTATTTACAAGTGAGATCACTGAGTTCCAGAGATTTGACGTGCCCTGTCCTTTGTCTTCGTGCTCATGGTTCTACAATAAAATGGAACTTTTCCAACAAATTATGAAGTAGAAGGATCTAGATTAAAAATGCCTTTAAGGTATTATAATTCTGGACCTTGAATGGATATAACAAAAATGTATGATGTATATGCAATCCAAGATCCAGACATAATTGATTGCTCCTGTTGTAGGCCCCAATATCTATCTCCATTTAGTCATTTGGGTATTTATTCAGAAAGAAACAATGATGGCCACGCAGTGTCTCTATTTTCTCAACGAAAAATTAGAACTTCTCATCTGACAGATAATTTTCATGTTATTTCCTGTACCTCAGGAAAAGTCTACAAGGCATGATATAGACGTGAACATGTTGAGATTCAAGAGATACATTAAGCCGTTCGTAGGGATGGCAGCTCAGAATAACAGAACTAAACCCCACTGGAATGGCGATAGGAAACACATGGGCCCCATCAGACAGACGTAAAATCTATGTTTAAGTGAACTTCTGGGTATTACTAACGGTTCCATATGTGGGAAAAGTAAATGGCTGGGAGACAAGCGGGGAAAGCAACCGCTTGAAGAGGAAACTTATTAGCTACTGTAGGTTTGAGAGCTCTTCGCTTTCCTTGCAACTTGAATAAAACTACTTCGTGACAGAGACACAAAATGATATGGCCCAACGTATAACAAACGATGCTAAATTCTTAGTGTGACTTGTTTCAAGGGCGAAGGGACAAGGGCGTTGTAGCCTTGTGAGAGACCATGTAGATCTCCCCAGGAGCTGTGGTCTCCAGGGCAGAATTCAGCATCCTCCAGGGCATCACTGGCTCCTCTCCAAGGTCCTGCCTCCTTCTGTCATCCACCACGAGGTTCAGAATCACAGCCAGTTACGGTTGAGCATGGGCATACCCTTAAGTGAGGTTAATATACCGGTGAGACTCCACTGGAGAAAACTAGTTTTTCCCTTGCAAATGATGTCAATTTGTAGTTTTGCTTTACTTTTCTTTTTTTAAATTCTACTCTGGTAGGTTTCAGTGTTTGTTTGTTTAAGAGAGAAAAAGGGGATGGAGTTGGGTGGGTTGGGAGATGCGGAGGACCAGGAGGGCTTGGGGGAGGGGAAACCATGATCAAAATATATTGTGTGAGTTTTTCAATAAAATTTAATTAATTTAAAAAATGATCACAGTAAATTTTTAGTGTATAATTTCCGATAATGGGGTCCCCAAGCCTCTCAAGGTCATTGCTAAATTAAATCTTTAGCCAGTCCAAAAGCCACTGCACTTGTGGGCATTTCTTTTTTGTTTTGTTTTGTTTTGTTTTGTTTTTGTTTTGTTTTGTTTTGTTTTTACGAGACAGGGTTTCTCTGTATTGTTTTGGAGGCTGTCGATCCAGCCCGGCCTCAAACTCACAGAGATCCGCCTGCCTCTGCCTCCCGAGTGCTGGGATTAAAGGCGTGCGCCACCACCGCCTGGCACTTACGGGCATTTCTAAGGGGGTTGTTTGTATCTGTTCTCACAGGTCCACTCCATGGATTTTGACGACACATGGCACCCTGCGACCCACCCTTCTGGGGCTGTCCTGCCAGTCCTCACAGCTTTATCGGAAGCCCTGCCTCAGACTCCGAAGTCCTCTGGCCTTGACCTGCTGCTGGCATTCAATGTTGGCATTGAAGTACAAGGGCGACTAATGCACTTCTCCAAGGAAGCCAAGGACATACCGAAGAGGTATGGAGAGACTACACCCACCCATTCAGGAGAGCCACACCGCCCTCTGCCGGTCAGTGGCTGTCTGTGCACAGCTGTCTGACTTACGGGCTGGCTCTGCAACTGTTATTACTGCGGCAAGATAGACCTTTTTCAGCCACGTAACAAGCCCTACATCCATATAAAAAGATGTGATTTGTGTAGAGAGAAGCCTTTTTCTTGCCAGCTGCTTTGGTTTTTTCCCCACCAGTTCGCCTGGGCTCTGCCACAGTTGCAATCCCCAAACAACACACAAGATGCTGTATTAATTATGAAGCTGCTGTTTCTTACTGGCTAGCTCTGACTTAAGTATTTATCCCATAATTGTTAATCTAAGTATTTCTCTTACCAGAGAAAAGTTCCAGACATCTTACTTCTCTGGCGGGCTACATGGTGACTCCCTGTGTTTCTCCTCCCAGAGTCCTCCTGGACTCCTAGTCCCACCTATCTTGCTTCCCTATTGGCCAACAGTGCTTTATTGACATATACACAGGACTTCCCCATCATATTTGGAAGTGATTGTGAAAATGTCCCTTGGGCTTGTAAATCCAAATCTAGCTACTAAGACAGCAAGATAACTTGGAGGTCTGTCACTCCAACCTGGTTCCTGTCACCTGCATCCAGGAGTATTCTGGGTATCACTGGATTCCCTTCAAGCTGGAGCTGCAGGAGTTGTGAACCACGAGTTGTGAGGCTAGAACCAGAGCTGCAGCCTCTGCAAGAGTAGTACAGGCTCTTACATGCTGGACCATCTCTCCAACCTCTATAATTTTTAGAATTGTGTTGTTATTCTCTGAAAATTCATAGTTCATTCATTGTATATTGATCATATCCTCTGTTCAATTATCCCTTGTGTCCCCCACTTCATCTTCCTGTCAGCTGAACGTCGTCGTCTTCTTTATTTTTCTTAATTAGTAACCCCAGTCCAATTAGTGCCACCCATATACACATGGGTGGATCCCCACCCACTAGGGCCACATCCTCAAAGGAGAGTGCCCCTCCCTCCCTCCCTCAGTAGCCATTAGCTGCAGCATTTATCCCACGGGGTGGGGCCTATTGCCCCCTACCCCATCCGTGTGGAACTTTGACTGGCTTGATCTTGTGCAGGTCTTGGAGAGTAACCACAGCTGCCGTGAGCTGCTGTGTACCATGGACATGTCATGTCTATACGGCCATGCTTCACAGCTCTCTTCCCACCTGCCAGCTCTTCTGTTATCTCTCCCCCCTCCTCCGACGTCCCTGAGCCTCGGACAGTGGGAAGCTGGTATAGATGGGCAACCCGCCAACCCTGAGTCCTCAGAGCTGTTTATCATCAGCACTTTGACCAGTTGTGAGATTGCATTAATCACTGCCCACTGCAAAGAAGAAGAAGAAGGAGAAGGAGAAGGAGAAGGAGAAGGAGGAGAAGAAGCAGCTCTGGTAGCAGCACAAATCTATAGCTGTAAACACAAAGATTTAGAATGCAGTTTAACAGTGTGACCATTTGGCAAAACAATAGTAGGTTCCAACCCACAGCCCTTCCTCAGGGCTGTGATCTCTCCCGTCATGGGCTTTGACCAGGTCTGCAGTGCCAGGCATAAACTCTATCCATCTCAAACCCACTCAGAAAGCAGTTGGTTGCTCCCATGATCTCCATGCCACTATCGCACCAGAGGGTGCATTTGTCAGCAGATCGCTTGCCGTCGGAGCATGTGATGTGCAGTTCTGGGTCTGGATGCCCCCCCCCCAGCAGCCTAAATAGCACCTTCTGGGACCAGCTACCTGGCAGAGAGAGTTTCCTGGTCAGTTTGAGGCTGATTTCTCTGTGTCCTGCATCCAATCTGAATGATGTCTTCAGCTATGGGGTCTTAAGGTATCCATATCCAGCTATGTGGTTACCATTGGTAGCCAAGAGCAATAGCAATAGCTTGCATTGTTTTGGGTCCCTCTGGGGACTCTCTGACAAACAGCTCATACGGAGGCATCCCTTGACTGACTGACACTGAGATTTTCATCTAATAACCCATGTCTTCTGGGAGAGGCACTGCCTACAAACAGAGTACTAGTGTTAAACCCTCCTTTATTTCCAAAACGTTGTATAGTTTTAATTAGCTTACAAAGTAGTGGATTCTCATGAGGCTTCTTCATGTATCCTTAGCTTTGGCTAAAGTGGCCCCGACTTCTTCCACTGGCCAAGCCCTGTGTCCCCACTTAGACTTTTAACCAGAGTGTCCCTCCACTCCTTTCTTGTCTCTTGTTTTCTGCTGTCCTCTCTGACTGACTGTTTTCCTGGGGTTGGAAGACTGTAGGTTTCCATACAGCTTTTTCACGCTCCCTTCTTTCTGATTAACTCTTCTGCTGGCATCTCATTTTTCTGTTCTCCATGACCACCATGTTTTAAGCTTTCCAACCCCTGAATCTCTCTCTCTCTCTCTCTCTCTCTCTCTCTCTCTCTCTCTCTCTCTCTCTCTCTCTCCTTTCATTTTATCTGTATTTTCCTATCCCCTCTCCCTTAAGGTATCCATGCCCTGTTTCTAGTACCCTGGCTTCCACATACACCCCAGGTTAAACACATTAACCAAGAGATTCAAAGTTACAGTCTACATATAACAGATAATATGTGGAGTTTGTCTTTCTGGGCCTGGGTGACCTCACTCCATATAATTTTCTCTACTTCTATCCGTTTGCCTGCAAATTTCATGACTTTTTTTCTATACAGCTGAGTAATATTCCACTGTCTATAAGTTCCACATTTTCCTTACCCACCCTCTCACTGGTTGAATTTCTTGCTTTTGCCTTTCAGGTTCCATCCTCCCTCTGTGGTGGGGACTTTGGGAAGTGCTGCTGCTGCATCCAAGTTTTTAGGGCTCAGCTTGACAAAGTGCCGAGAGGCCCTGGCTATTGCCGTTTCTCATGCTGGGGCACCCATGGCAAATGCTGCCACTCAGACCAAGCCCCTTCACATCGGCAATGCAGCCAAGCACGGCATGGAAGCCACCTTCCTGGCCATGCTGGGTCTCCAAGGAAACAAGCGGATCTTGGACCTGGGGTCGGGGTTTGGGGCCTTCTATGCCAACTACTCCCCCAACGATCTTCCGAGCCTGGATTCTCACATCTGGCTGCTGGATCAGCAGGACGTGGCGTTCAAGAGCTTCCCAGCGCATCTGGCTACCCACTGGGTGGCCGATGCAGCAGCAGCCGTGAGAAAACACCTTGTGGATTCAGAAAGAGCAGGGCTCCCTACCGACCACATCGAGAGGGTTGTGCTCAGGATCCCCGAGGTCCCGTATGTAAACAGACCCTTCCCAGACTCCGAGCACGAGGCGCGTCACTCCTTCCAGTACGTGGCCTGCGCCATGCTGCTCGATGGCAGCGTCGCTGTTCCATCCTTCCACAGCCAGCAGATCAATAGACCACAGGTGAGGGAGTTGCTCAGGAAAGTGCAGCTGCAGCACCCTCCTGACAACCTGCCGAGTTTTAACACGCTGTACTGTGAGATCAGCGTCACCCTTAAGGATGGGACCACCTTCACTGAGCGTTCTGACACCTTCTATGGCCACTGGAGGAAGCCACTGAGCCAGGAGGACCTGCAGAAGAAGTTCCGAGCCAACGCCTCAAAGGTACTGTGCAGGGACTCAGTGGAGAGCCTTGTGAAGGTCATAGAAAGCCTAGAAGACCTAGAAGACTGTTCCACATTAACCACACTTCTGAAAGGGCCCTCTGTCCAAGACGAGGCCTCCAAACGATCCCACATGTTCTCTTCCCATCACACAACCTCGCCCAGGCTCACCAGTGTCTAGACAACTTTGCATTGGAGGAGATCCAATCGTTTGCTTTACTGCTCCATCCTAGCAATGAACATAGCAAAGCAGAGAGCCCATAAGCAGAGATACATGTATTTGGAAGGAACCTTGTCTTATAAGCTTGATAGGACGATTCCCACTGCCTTTAAGAAAATATCAAGAAACAAGCAACACAAGATCTTATGTGTGCTCGAAGTCCCCTGTGTTCTGCTTATAATCTTCTCTGAGTAATTATTTATTAGCCCTGGGAACTTGACAGATGTGGAGGAAGTTGAATTCGCAGGCTGCTGGCTGCAGGGGGAACAAACTCTGGTCTAAACCACCACATATCCAGAGGGGATGGGACTACCCAGGCCTCCTCTCTGTGGTGACTGGTTTGAGGGATTAGCAGGTTTTTCCCCTTTTCCTTTCCACACACAGCCCTGAGTATGTAGCCAAGAACTCTTCTCCCTCAGCTCGTCTACTGAAGAGATAAAAGACAGTCTGGGATGGAGTAGGGAGGCAGCTTGGCTCCCCAGGTCCACGCTTTACAATAATCTGTTAGCTCAAAAAATATTTTGAGAAAATTTGACAGATGACAGGTCAGAAATACAGTAAAATGAAAAGGGAAACGATGCAAATGTGTGAGTAATGAAAATATTAACTATAAAACATAGAGATACCACACTGGCAACCATGGTGAATGTGTCCTAAATTCCTGATGTTCTCCAGAAAAGAAAGAACGGGCTCTTAGCTCCTGATGTTCTCCAGAAAAGAATGGGCTCTTAGCTCCTGATGTTCTCCAGAAAAGAACAGGCTCTTAGCCCCAGATGCTGACTTGCAAGCTTCCATGTGGAAACGTGTTGGGTAGCTGAGAACTTCAGCAGACTATATCATTTCCCAGTTTGTAGGAAGAGAAAAAATATAATTAGAAACATTATAATCAGTGGGAAGAAAATAAAGAAGGGGAAAAGAAAATAGGAAGTTTTGAAATCACCACATAAAATTATAGAATCTTGAGTATGACTACAATTTTTAAAAAATCAATAAATGTTCCAGCTAGATAAAACCAAGATTTTTAGAACATGTTTTCTTTTAAAAAAAATGCTTAACAGCTTTATTAATCACCCACTTGAAGTATACAGTTCAAGGGCATTGAGTAAATTTGTGCTATCATTACCATAATTGAGTTTTGGAATACTACCATTAACACTAAAAAATTCCTTCATGTCTATTTGACTTAAAGCCCCATGCCCACTTCTAATATTTATCCCATTATGAGCTTTTAAAATATAGTTTTGTCTTTTCAACACATCCCATACAAATGGAGCCCTAGGGTGTTAGTCACATGTGCTTGGCTTCTGTGACCTAACTAAATGGATTGGGGCATCTTCCACTTGGGGTCAGTACTTTATTCCCTTCATTGCTGGGTGTCATTATAAGGTCCGTGACAGCTTGTGTGGGGAAACCTCTTCAGGAAAGATGAATAAATGCAAGCCTATCATTTAATTAACACATGGTAGTGAGGACTTAGTATAAACCAGGAATGTTCCTAGTACAGGAGATAAGACAATAAACGAAACAGGTCTAAACTTCTGTTCTCATGTGCTTGCAATTTGTATGGTTGGACAAGGAATCACCTTTGCGCCCATTCTGGTCAAGCACCGCCTTTGCGACCGTTCTGGTCAGACATCACATCTCCTTTTCCTGTCCCGGCATGCTTGCCAGCTTCCGAGGGTTGACTTGTGCTCAGGGTCCAGCCTAGGACATCCTTCCCTAATGCAATTAAAAACAATAATCCCTGGGCAGCGATCCAACCTGGGAGACCTTGAAAATGTGGCTTCCCTGTCAATTAAAGCAGGATCCAGCATAGAGTAAGGCTAAGAGTGACTCAAAGTAAAATAGCCAACATTCCTTCCAGTGGATGCTACAAGTGTATGCAGCTGTGTGCATGTGTGGAGTCCTTGCCCAGAGACTGAGATCCACCCACAACTGCTTGTGGCAGGAACCTTTTTTAATTATTTAGAAATGTATTTGTTCATTCTGTCTTCAACCCTTTGTGAAAATGAGAGACTAGAGGGTAGTCGGTGACTCACTGGGTAAAGTCCTCACCATATAGGCTGAGGATCTTCTTCGTTCATAACTCCAGTGTCCACAGGAAAAGCCTGGTGTGCTGGCCTGCACCTGTAACCCCAGAACTGCCAAGGCAAACACAAAAAGGTCATGGGAGCTCACAGGCCAGCCAGTTTAACCAAACCTGTGGGCTCCAGGTTCAGTGAATTATCCTGTCTCAAAAACAAGGTGGAGAACCAACATCAACCTCTGACCTCCATACATGTACACATGCATACACAATGAATACACAGACAGAAGAAAGAAAGAACACATGAATCATTGACAGAAAGTAAGAATACAGTATATTTCCAAACCAGTTGAGTGTTTTACTAGTCCAGTGGCTGTTATACCCTGAGCACCAATTGTTTCTAGCTGTGTAGCATGTCAAAACAATGTATGATACATAACCTCTAAAACTGCTTTCTGTAAACCATAAAGAACACAAGATAACTGAAATTGAGCCTTCTAGTTCATGCATAAATGCAAAGATTTACATCCCCACCTCGTGGAAACTCTCCCTGCTTTTGATTGGAATCATATCACAGAGCAAGCACCAGTTACTACTGGTGCTAAGGAAGGAGCCAACCTGGTGGCTCCAGGGGACATCCAGAGCAGCTGGGAGCCCATCTGTTTCAAATGTGACACGGCAGTGCTGCTTTTGCTTTAAAAAGTGAAAACTCAAAATGAATCATGGCCATGCAGAAAGTGCATGCACTGAATAACTTAATGATGGCTACCCAGATATGACTAAGATCGTATTTGTAGTACCTATCAACTCTCAGAGGGTGCGGTCTATTTGGTCAAAGATACATGTAAGTGTCCTCAGGTGTGGGCCAGGTGTCACACATTTTTTTAGTGCTCTAGTTGATTATCAAGTACAGCAAAGTCTGAGCAACAGACCTGGGGCTGGACACGGGAGGGTTCAGAACAGCCAGCCAGCGCGCAGCACTTCCCAAATGGCGGTTGCAAAATTAGTGAGCATCGGTTAAAATGAATATTTCCCTGCACAGCTTTAGGCTAACTCACCAGGTGTAATGACAGCAGCGAGCACAGAGAAACCACAGTCTGCCCAAAGTGTCCATGCCCCCACGGGCTCTCCTGGCATTTTCCTCCCACGTATTTCTCTCCTCTTTCAAGTGATTAGGGACGTGCATCTGCCTGGCTTTGGGTGTAAAAGGCTTTGCCCTCAAGAGGAGAAAGAAAAGCAAATGATGACTCTGCTTGTATTAAAATGCCCAAGTAAATCAAGCAGAAATGAAAGTCATAAAAAACACTAAATAATTCTTATGTGTCACAGCCATACCAGTTATAACCACCACAACTAGACCACAAAGGGAGAAAGTGGAGGTGCCCCCAGAGGAAGAAAACTAGACCTATGTGTGAGCTTCCAGAAAGAAAGGAGACTAGATGATCATAAAGGGGTGGATTTCACATAGAGAGATCTGCTTTGTAGATAATTGTTTATTTTTTAATTAAATACAACTGCATTCAACTCCTTCCTTATACCCCTTTTGCTCTCTCCTCTCAAATCCATGGCCTCTTTTTCTTTAGATGTTATTACATGCTCTCTCTCTCTCTCTCTCTCTCTCTCTCTCTCTCTCTGTCTGTCTCTCTCTCTCTGTGACTCTCTCTCTCTCTAATACATAATCTGCTCAGGTTGTATAATATTATTTATATGTGTATGTAACATGATAAATAAAAAGACCCAGAGACTGATATTGGGGTTCAAACTTCAAGCTGAAGATCAGAGAAGCAAAGCAGCTGTCCACTAGCTTCTTACCTCTACCTCAGACTGAATGGGCTGATCCTGTCTCCACGAACTGTCACCAAGCCTGACTGTAACCTTTTCTCAGGGTGGCTGGAGAATGAATGCCTCCTACTGAATCTTGATACTGACTTATACACCTCTCATGAGTCCTAGGATTAAAGGCGTGAGCTATAACTCTCTTTTAGACCGCTTCAATCTTATGTAGATATGGGTAGACTTGGACTCACAGAGATCTGTCTTAATCCTGAGTCCTAGGATTAAAGGTGTGTACCACCACCTCCTAGCTTCTGGCTGCTGGGAATAAAGGCATGTGCCCTGGCTTCTATAGCTTGTGGCTGACTTTGCTTTCTGAATCCTCAGGCAAGCATTAATAAATCATAAATAATATGTCACTACATGTATATAAATTTGAGGGATGGCTGCTCCACATTGAATAACCAATTGGTAGACTTTGCCCTGAAGAAGACTGTTTCTTCTGCACTTGGCATCCATTAGTTACCTGTTGTAGTTCCTTGTTTGAGATTGGGGCCCCGTGACATTTTCCCCCCTCACATCAGTGCACCTGTCAGTGGTGCTCTCGCTCAGGTCTTGTCTTGGAAGTCATGTTATTAAGACCTCATGGGTGTAGCATCCCTGTCATTTCTAAGAAACGCAGTTTCTCTGCAGCTTTCAGGGTCCTCTGGCTCTAATCATCCTTCCACCCCCTCTTCCAGGATGTTCTTTAAGCCTTGGATGCAGTTGCGTTGTAGATGTATCCACTGGGGCTGGGTACCACACAGTCACTTAAATGTATCCACTGGGCTGGGTATCACACAGTCACTTGGATGTATCCACTGGAGCTGGGTATCACAGAGTCACTTAGATGTATCCACTGGGCTGGGTATCACACAGACACTTGGATGTATCCACTGGGCTGGGTATCACACAGTCACTTAGATGTATCCACTGGGGTTGGGTACCACACAGGCACTTAGATGTATCCATTGGGGCTGGGTATCACACAGTCACTTAGATGTATCCACTGGGTCTGGGTACCACACAGTCAATTAAATGTATCCACTGGGCTGGGTATCACACAGTCACTTGGATGTGTCCACTGGAGCTGGGTATCACACAGTCACTTGGATGTATCCACTGGGCTGGGTATCACACAGACACTTGGATGTATCCACTGGGGCTGGGTATCACACAGACACTTGGATGTATCCACTGGGGCTGGGTACCACACAGACACTTGGATGTATCCACTGGGGCTGGGTACCACACAGTCACTTGTTCTTTATGTTTTGATCTGCAATGATCCCCATCTGTTGAAAAGAGAAGTTTCTTTGATGAGGAGAGAGGACTCTACTCATCTGTGGGTATAAGAATAAATATTTACAATGTAGTTAGGAATTATGCTTGTTTTGGTAAAGTGGCAGTTGTAGGTTCTTCTCCAATATCCATGACTTCACTAGCCTGGAGTAGTTGGTTAGTACCAGGCATGATTTCCCTCTTGTTGAGTGGGCCTTGAGAGAGTTGTTGGTTAACACCAAGACGTGGGCACCACTGATGCCATGGGTTTTCACACCATGCTGGTTGTAGTAGTTCCTAGGTATCACAGCTGGGTAGGATTATTTGTTCCTTCCCTCCCATGGAAGTTTTCCTGGCACCTTTTATACCATGGAAGTCAGTCCTCAAGGAGGAAGCCTTCAGGTCAGGTGCAACTTGAATCTTGCAGGTCCTGTGTGCAAAGTATGTGGTGTCTTCGGTAATAAAGATTTATCCACTTGTTGAAGATGTGTATGTTTTGCCATGTTTGTCTCATATTAGATGGCTGTATCTATGTATATTGATTTTGGGATCTTTTAGCCTTCTATCTAGGTCCAATGAGCTGTATTAGGCACACTTTTTAAAGGCATGCACCGCACCCAGTTTTGATTGGTAAGAACAGGGCTCAAAGACATGGGAAAGTCAGTGAAACTAGATATCAAAACTAAATCCTTAATGGATTAGCATCTAAGAACTTACTGCAAGTATGAAGACCAATTTCAGACACCAAGAAACTCACATAAATGTCAAGTGAGTGATTGTGGCAGCCTATCTGTAATCCCTGTTTCAGAATGGGGTCCTCACAGCAAGGCAGCGCACAGTAATAGCCATATGGGCAAGCTCTGGGTTTGGCTGAGAGACTTTACCTTAGTAAATAAGATGGCAGAGCCTCTGAAGATGATTGCCAACATTAGCCTTGGGCCTTGACATGCATAGACATGTATGTGTATACAAAGACACGGTGGACTTTATTCCAAATCAAAAACTCAGCAAACAGATAAGAACTGAAACATGTTAACATGTGCAGACCTCCTGGCTCCCTTAGCAGGTTCTGAGGCAACAGCTGCATTGTAAGGGCAAGCAAATAACCCTCTGCTTCCTCTTTGCTCTGGACTTCACCTTGGGGACCAGGGCTGCTGGGACAATGCCCTTCAGCCAGCGGGGTGTTACTGGCTGTGTATTGAACAGGCGTGTGGATACCCGCCACGCTAATTCTGATGCTCCTTAAAAGACATTTCCTGTCCTATGCCTTAGAGAAAGAGAGCTGACATCTGTGGCCAACTTTGTCACTAACGGGTAACAACTGTAGCCTGTGGAAACTTGGCCAGGAAATGGAATAGAGAGGTCCTCTGGCTTCAGATTTCAAGTGCTGCAAATGTAAACTTAATGAGAAGCATTTTAAGTTAATATTTAACAGGACAGTTCAGCCACTACAGCAGTTGCTCTAAAGGTTTAATACACAATTAAGTGAATGTGTCCCAGTAGAGTTATGCATGTACATGGAGCAATTAAAAAACAGACTCATAGAGGTATTTGTTGTTTTTTTTTACATAAATTTATTTATTTTACATCCTGGCCACAGTTTCTCCTCCCTCCTCTCCTCTCAGGCCCTCCCCTTCCTCCCATCTGCCCTCCCCTCCTCCATTTCTATTCAGACAAGGGCGGGCCTCCCATAGATATCAACAAAACATGGCATATCAAGACTAAACACCTTGCCTTGTATTCAAGCTGGGTAAGGCAACCTAGTGTCAGAAATAGGGTCTTAAAAACTGGCAAAAGAGTCAGAGACAGCCCCTGCTCCCACCGTTAGGAGTCCCACAAGAGGACCAAGCTATACAGCAGTAACATATATGCAGAGTGCCTAGGTCAGTCCCATGCAGACTCCCTGGTTGCTGGTTCAGTCTCTGTGAGTCTCTGTGAGCCCCTATGAGCCTAGGTTAGTTGATTCTGTAGGTTTCCTTGTGATGTCCTTGACCCCGCTGGCTCCTACAATCCTTCTCCCCATCCTCTGTAGGATTCCACAAACTCCATCTAACGTTTGGCTGTGGGTCTGCATCTATTTCCATCAGTTGGTAGTTGAAGCCTCTTTGATGACAATTGGGCTAGGCCCCAATCTGGTCACATGAGATGGTCAGTTCATGTAGGAGAAACTGCCAGCAAGCCTACCCAAGCCGCAGTTGCCCTGTCCAGGTGCCCAGGCCAGTCCGCATGAGCATGCGCGGCAGACACTTCCTCCCTAAGTCAAGCCTGCCTGTACACCCAGAGACACCAATGAGGAAAGGACAGTGCAGCAGAGTCAGCTGCCTGAGCCAATGGGACCTTGGGAGGGGGTGTAAAGATGGATCTAACGTCCTTTTTTTTTTTTTTTTTTTTTTGG